GAAATACCACAAGTGGATGGTTTTAACGAAGAGAAGTTTATTTCCTCACAGTCAAAGTAAGCTAAAAGTCCAAATTCAGGGTGTCAACTGCAGAGGAAGTCTTCCTCTCTCTATTGGCCTTCTCATCAGTGTTCCCCTGGACTAGGAGCTTCTCGGCGCAGGGACCCTGTCCAAAGAACGCACTCTGCTCCTGGCACTGCTTTCTTGATGGTATGAGGTCCCCCGCGTCTTTTGATTTCTTGAGTGCTGCTTCCATGGGTGTTGATTGTGGATCCAAGTAAAATGAAATCCTTGACAAGCTCAATCTTTTCTCTATCATCATGTTGCTTATTGGCCCAGTTGGGAGGGCTTTTGTGTTCTTTATGTTGAGGTGTAATCCACACTGAAGGCTGTGGTCTTTGTTCTTCATCAGTAAGTGCTTCAAGTCCTCTTCACTTGCAGCAAGCAAGGTTGTGTCGTCTGCATAACAGGTTGTTAATGAGTCTTCCTCCAAGCCTGAATGCCCCGTTCTTCATATAGCCCAGCTTCTTGGATTATTTGCTCAGCTTACAGATTGAGTAAATATGGTGAAAAGATACAACCCTGACACACACCTTTCCTGGCTTTAAACCACGCAGTATCCACTTGTTCTGTTTGAACAACTGCCTCTCGATCTATGTACAGGTTCCTCATGAGCACAATTAAGTAAGTGTTCTGGAATTCCCATGCTTGGCAGTGTTATCCATCATTTGTTATGATCCACACAGTTGAATGCCTTTGCATAGTCAATAAACACCGGTAAATATCCTTCTGGTATTCTCTGCTTTCAGCCAGGATCGCATCTGACATCAGCAATGATATCCCTCCTTCCACGTCCTCTTCTGAATCCAGCTTGAATTTCTGGCAGTTTCCTGTTGACGTACTGCTGCAGCCACTTTTGAATGATCTTCAGCAAAATTTTACTTGTGTGTGATATTAATGATACTGTTTGATAATTTCCACATTTGGTTGGATCACCTTTCTTTGGAATAGGCATAAATATGGATGTCTTCCAGTCGGTTGGCCAGGTAGCTGTCTTCCAAATTTCTTGACATGGATGAGTGAGCACTTCCAGCGCTGCATCCATTTGTTGAAATATCTCAATTGGTATTCCGTCAATTCCTGGGGCCTTGTTTTTCACCAGTGCCTTTAGTGCAGCTTAGACCTCTTCCTTTACTACCATCAGTTCCTGATCATATGCTACTTCCTGAAATGGATAAATGTCGACCAATTCTTTTTAGTATAGTGACTCTGTGTATTCCTTCCATCCTCTTTTGATGCTTCCTGTGTCATTTAATGTTTTCCCCATAGAATCCTTCAGTATCGCAACTCGAGGCTTGAATTTTTTTCTTTAGTTCTTTCAGCTTGAGAAATGCCAGATGTGTTCTTCTCTTTTGGTTTTTTATCTCCAGGTCTTTGCACATGTTGTTACAATACTTTGGTTTTTTGAGCCGCTCTTTGAAATCTTCTGTCCAGCTCTTTGACTTCATCATTTCTTCCTTTTGTTTTAGCTACTCTACATTCAAGACCAACTTTCAGAGTCTCTTCTGACATCTGTTTTGGTCCTTTTTCTTTCTTACCTTTTTAATGACCTCTTGCTTTCTTTAGGCATAATGTCTTTGTGGTATTCCATAACTCATCTGGTCTTCGGTGTTCAGCACATCAAATCTATTCTTGAGATGGTCTCTAAATTCAGGTAGGATATACTCAAGGCCATACTTTGGCTCTTGCGGACTTGTTCTAATTTTCTTCAGTTTCAGCTTGAACTTGCATATGAGCAAATGATGGTCTGTTCTACAGTCGGCCCCTGGCCTTGTTCTGACTGATGATGCTGAGTTTTTCCATTGTCTCTTTCCACATATGTAGTTGATTTGATTCCTGTATATTCCATCTGGTGAGGTCCACGTGTATAGTCGCTGTTTACGTTGTTGAAAAAAGGTATTGCAATGAAGAAGTCATTGCTCTTGCAAAATTCTGTCATGTGATCTCCAGCATTGTTTCTATCACCACGGCCATATTTTCCAACTACTGATCCTTCTTCGTTTACAGTGTTTGCATTCCAGTTGCCAGTTTTTATCAGTGCATCCTGATTGCATGTTCAATCAATTTCAGACTCCAGAAATTGGTAAAAATCTTTAATTTCTTCATCTTTGGCCTTAGTGGTTGGTGTATAAATTTGAATAATAATTGTATTAACTGGTCTTCCTTGTAGGCATATGGATATTATCCTATCACTGACAGTATTGTACTTCAGGATAGATCTTGAAATGTTCTTTTTGACGATAAATGTAACGCCATTCTTCTTCAAGTTGTCATTCCTAGCATAGTAGATCATATGATTATCTGATTCATAATGGCCAATACCAGTCCATTTCAGCTATGCCTGGGATTTTGACGCTTATGCATCATTTTTGACGATTTCCAATTTTCCTGGATTCATACTTTGTACATTGCATGTTCTGATTATTAGTGGGTGTTTGCAGCTGTTCCTTCTCATTTTGAGTCTTGCCACATCACAAATGGAGGTCCTGAAAGCCTGACTCCATCAGCGTCATTAAGATCAACTTTACTTTGAGGAGGCAGCTGTTCCTTAGTCGTCTTTTGAGTGCATTCCAACCTGAGGGGCTCATCTATATCAGACAGTGTTCTACTACTGTTCATAAGGTTTTCACTGGCTAATTCTTTTCAGTAAACTGCCAGGTCCTTCTTCCTAGTCTTTCTTAGTCTGGAAGCTCTGCTGAAACCTGTCTGCCATGGGTGACACTGCTATTTGAATACCAGTAGCATAGCTTCCAACATCACAGCAACATGCAAGCCCCCATAGTACAACAAACTGACAGACGCGTGGGGGTCAGACTGGAATAGGTGAAGCAAAACGAAAACCTAGGGAACTCACCACTGTGTTGTTCTTCTGGTTCCAAGGTCTCTAGCAAGTCTGCCTTCTCTCCTCTACCTTTCACAGTCTACTTATGTTTGTCTAATACATAATGTCCAGGTTTTGTTTGTCCTTAGCAGGGGAATAGAGAAAGGTATATCTACTTCGTCCTACAGGAAGCCCAAGTCCCTCATGTGAGCTTTTTATTCTGCTGTGTAATAGTTGGAGTCCCTGGGTGGTGCAAATGTTTAGCACACTTGGCTGCTAATTGAAAGGTAGGAGGTTCAAGTCCACCCAGAGGCAGCTCAGAAGAAAGGCCTGGTGATCTGCTTCCGAAAACTCAGCCATTGACAACCCTATGGGGCACAGTTCTACTCTGACACTTATGGGGGTGCCATGAGTTGGAGTCAACTCTGTGGCAACTGGTTTTTTCTGTTGTAATAGTTATTTGTGATTGTCTTCTCATTCATTGAAGATTAAGCTGCTTTGCCCATCTTCAGTCTTCCTCACTATGTTTAGACAGCACCATGATTTTGGATGCTTAGTGTGAAAAAGGCTTGGGGGCAGTGTCTGACCTCCTCCAACCCCATAATGGGGAAGGAGAACCAAGATCAACAGTGCAAGGCTGACTCCCATGATGTGGAGGCCAGACAAGCATCCTCTCTCTGCCATCTTTACCAATTCTGACACCAACCATCCCTCACACAACACTCTCTACTTCTCTGCTGGGTTCGATAATTCATTGCAGTGGCCACACAGAACTCACAGACCATACTCAAAATTAAGGGGTTTATTAGGGAAGTAACAGTTTACAGTTCAGGCTCAGGAACACTCAGGATACAGTTCTTCCATCAGGATGGCCTTTCCCCAGCTGTGCTCACAGGCACACCTCTCCCTGGCCCTCAGTCTCTGCCAGAGGCACTCAGCTTTCTCTCTCCATGGGCGGGTAAGCCCATCTTGCCGTCTCTGCTGCTGGGTCTCTCCTGCTGGTCTCTCCATCCTTAGTGGCGGTGAGCTCCTCCTTCTGCTCTGGAATTGGTTGTCTTTTAAGTCAAAACTGACCAATCCCCTTGGTAGGCCACAATTACCCTATCACACAATCACCTGGGTGGGAGTTACAAGCCCATGGCTAGAAAGGCCACACACAAAAGTAATTAAACTTCTGCACTTAGTAAGTCTTTGTTGAGTTCATTAAATAAAGTGGTATCTTTTTACAGGAATTTGTAGTGTGATGGGACTTACATGATAACCATTTAACTTGCTGACACTAATCTTTAGGACTTTGAAGGGTAGTCAGAGCTTCTAGGCCTCTGTGATTAGTCAGACCTCGTCACTGCTACCAAGTGCAAATGGTGGCCTGTTCAGTTGAGGTTCATTTCCAGGGTAACAAATAGGCCTGCAGAGATTGTTCCTTTACTGTCCTGGTAGTACAACACACCAAAATGCTTCAGATGTTACCCTTTGTGTTGTAGGTAAATTCAACTGGAAGGGAACTATTAAAGCAGTTCTGAAACAAGCCCCGGACAATGAAATAGCAGTCAAGAAGCTAAAGAAAAAGGTATGACGTGAACAACCCCAGGTATATAAAACCTGGGGAGATTCAGTTTCTAATTTTAAAAGGTATAATCGTGTGTGTGTATGTGTGTGTGTATGGGTGTGTATGTCTGAGTGTGGGTGTGTGTGAGTGTGGGTCTGTCTATCTCAGTGATTTTCAAACCACTCTAAGTAGCCCCTCAAGGCCTGTGGGAAGAGAATTGAACAAATCCCATCACACTTCTTCAGCCAAGGCAGTTCCAACATTTTGGACTTGTTTACAACATTTTGTTTGAAGAAAGACTTCCATTTAATTTTCTGTTAAGTTTGAAAGTATGTTCTAGATGGCTGGCTGTCTTCTGCTTGTCTCAGAGCAGTGCTTTCTCTTCCATTTCGTTTTTAACACATCATCTGTGATAACTCCGGATAATCAGCACATGGGTTTCTTTTCTACTTTTCTCTGTTTTCCCATTTTAACTATTTTTAATCTTTTTACCATTGGCCCACCCCTAGGTTAAAAAAAAAGACATTTTACAGGTTGATATCCAGGACGCATGTGCCTGTGTGACGTTTGCCTTTTTTGTGAAGGTTTTAGCTCAGTACTACGCAGTGACAAATGAGCATCACAGATCCGAAGAGGAGCTCCTGGTCATTTTTAACAAGAAAATCAGCAAGAACCCTGCCTTTAAGCTATTAAAGGACAAAGTCAAGCTTTTGAAATGAACATTTTCATATTTCAAAAATAAATCTGTTCTGTCGTTGACTTCTTCCTTTCACTGTTTAGAAAATATGTAATGAATTCTGGCAACTCACGTTTTACTTTCCAAAGCTGTATTTTTAAGTTAAAGAAAATATATATTTTTGGTAGAACTTTTATGAGAGAATAAAATACATTCTTTCCACAATTTGAAATTCGTGCTGGTAAAATTTACTGTACTTTAAAAAAAAAAACTTTTATGTAGAAAATTTTTTTAAAAAGCAGTGCAGGGACAAGTAATGATGCTGTTCCTCTTTGGGCCAGACTAGAAAGTATTCGTTTTTAACCTTGTCATTTCTATACATTCTCAATTAGGATTGATCATGGGTTTATTTTTTGTATTTTTAATAATGTATGCGAGTGGCAGTATTTGACTCAGGAAAGATTGTGACAAAACTCTCGTATGTAATAGGCCTTGCCTCACCAGCAAGGGATGCTCCTTCAAGGTGGCTTTGTTACTGCAATGGCGGGTCTTTGAGCCGCCTGTCACAGAAGCCAATACTGAGACAGGTGAGGTGAGCAGCAAAAGTGTTTTATTGTATATCGATACACAGAAGACAGAGGGGAATGAGCTCCTCCAAAAGACCTGTCTCCCCTTTGGAGACTCGCTGAAAGTTTTTAAATGGACAAGATTATAGTATTTTTCTGGAGGTTACATTCTGCACCTGACAATCCTTGAAGGTCATCTTGCCCTGTTATTATCACGTCGCAGATGAGTTACTCTACCCTACAAGGTCGTTCTACCTCTCAGAGAAACTTAGTTGAACTTTAAAGTCATGGGAAACAAGAGGGGGGGATAGGAGGAAAACAAATCAAAATCATAGGAGCATGCAAAAGTGAACTATGCAAGCTAGGTATTAACAATACCACAATACCCAGGAAGCTAGGCCTATACTGTTGGCAATAAACAATAAATGTGAAATTTCCACACAGCCCCTTTCAGTCTCCCCTTTTGTTGGAAGTTTTCTCAGTCTTGGGAAACAGGGTGCCCTTGTCTAATGACTGCTTCTTGCTGACTAGGGGTGTCGACTGGGGACGAGGACTTTCAGTGCTTGTTGATTTTTCCCCAGGTTTTCAGCAGGACCTGATCTCCGGGTTGGAACCTATGAAGGAGTGCCAGAAGGGAAAGACAAACGGGAAAAAGCATATTAACAGTGTTTATAATGGTTCTCAGAGAATAGACCCAGTCTCTTTACTCCATCTCGGTCATTACTGAGGTAGGGAAATTTGACTTTTTCAGGAATGGTCTTCCATATATTAATTTATAAAGGCTCAATTTAAGCCTGCTTCGAGGGGCTACCCAGATTCTGAGCAGGGCAATGGGCAAAACTTGTATTTAGGTAGAATGTGTTTCTTGGCAGAGCTTGGCTAGGGTTCTTTCAGAGTGATTCATCTTCTTTGTCTTCCCGGTTGACTGTGGCCTCCAGGCTGAATGTAATTTTTAATTAATGTCCGGAGCCTTACTAACCTCTTGTGTGACCATTGTCACGAAGTCTCCCCCATTGTTGGTTTGGATGGATATTGGCAACCCAAAACGAGGGATAATTTTTTTGAGTAGTACATTGGTTACCTCTCGAGCTTGTTCAGTCAGACAAGGAAAAACCTCTACTCACCCAGCAGCCACCTGAAGTTCCCGGGTGCTCAGGGCATTACTGTGAAATCTACTTGCCAGTCTTCTCTCATGTTTGTTTCTCGGTGTTGGACTCTTGGTTCCGTTGGGTGGGGCGCATTCTCTGGATTGTGTCTTGCACATAGGTGACAACCTCTTTGTAACACCCCGGGTGGTTTTTAGGAAATTCAGCCCGGTGGCCACCTGTTGGATTCACTCAAGGCCGGCATCTCTCTCGTAGTGAGCTTCTTCATGTAGAGCTGATACTATACCGTATACTTTGGTCTCAGGTGACAATACTTTCTTTCAGAGTTTATCAGCCATTTAGAATGAGAAGTGAGGTGATAGCCCTGTTCTTCAGCCCTATCCAGGTCCTGGGCAGTATAACTCTTGGCCTCTTGTTCTTCTCTCCAGACCTGGAGGGGCTAGGGCAGCTGTCAGCAAGGCCACTTTTTGCTTCATTTTTTTTTTCCCTCTTTTTTTCCTGTCACCTGATCTCTATTGTTGAAGACTTTAAAAACAATGTCAAGTAATTGCCCTGCTCAAACCCTGACAGCACTCTTACCAAAAACAGTACCCTGATGGGTGTGGGAGGGGCAGACCCTACATGAGGCAATCGAACTCTCACTTTCTGCCTCTCTCTCTCTCTCTCTCTCTCTCTCTCTCTCCAGCAACCTCCTCTACCCACTCTACTAGAATCAGACTCCACCTCTTACCATCCTGACCTGTTTACTGCGACCATGCCTTCTCCATACGGGGAAGGGGAGACCAAAGCAGGTACCAGGACTAATCTTTTCAAGAGAGAGTCCTCTGTTGAGGACTCAGGGAACATTTCTGTCTTTGGTTTTGCCTGAAAAAGAACTTGGTTAGAAGGGTTTAAGGTCTGGTAGAGGGACATGAAAGCTTGGACATAGGGGACCTCATCCCATTTCTTTTCTTACAAAACAAATCAAGCTGCAGAATCGTATGGTAGGCCGTGGACCCATGTTGTGGCATCCTCTCTGGTCTCCTAATTGATAGTGGGGCCACACATCATTGCATAAAAATATCAGTTTTTTTCTTTTGGATCATGATCTTGTTATAGAATCTTATCAGAAATGTTCAGTGAATGGTAATTGGGCACCATTTGGTCTTTAAGATCTCAAGCACCATACAGCAAAATAAGAAAACAGAAACACCAACAACAATATTAGGCCAGTTGTCTGAAATAACCAACGAAACCATGACCCTAAGGTCTTTGAACCAGGGAAACGATTCTCATGAGGTGTTTGTTTATGTATAAGCAGTATCAGTAACTATTTTTCATGTGTCTCAATAGCAACTACATTCTGCAAAAACCTCAGATTGAGTATTAATATAAATACGGCAATGTTTATTAAGGCACAAACTTTTTTGAGAGACTGTTGTAGGGGAAAAACATAAAGTTTAGTAAAGCAAAAAGGAAGTTTTATTCAGCATATATTCAAAAGGGCAGAAGTGGGAAGTGGACAACCATGCTGCCAGAGCCATGTCTGCTGGAGTCCAAAGAATACTACAGAACAGGCAAGAAAGGGAAAACGGACAAGCATGCTGCCACAGCCATGTCTGCCCAAGTCCAAGGAACAGTTACAGAGCCATCAGTATATGTTAACATTACAAATGGGTAGAATCATAGAAAGCGTCACCTTTTCACAGATTGGCTAGAAATTGTGATCTTACATTTTGCATCATCTTTCTTAACAATCATTGGTACAGGTTTCAGTTAAGAAAGTCAGGAGGGTCTTCACTGGTCCAACAAATTTCTATTCACTAAATGCTAATAGAAAAAGGTAAGAGTGGAAAGTCGTTTGTGTTAGGTTTGATTGCCTTTTTGTGAAAACTTCCTTAAGATAATTTCTGAGATTGTCCCATCTATTGTATCTCATGCCCCAGCTGGGTCACAATTCTCCATGCTCAAGGTCAGGGAATAATGATTCCAAATATTATTTCTAAATCAAGACTAACAGGAAGGCCCATACTATTCTATTTTGTAAAATCATAGCTCAAATTTTAGACACTTTTCTAGTTATGGTATTTACAACTTTGCTAAGTTTACCAACAAGAGTTATAATATTTAAACCCATTAGGTAGATAATTTAAGAGAAATAAAAATGGTTTCTTATATTCAGAAAGTAGGACCTTAAAACATTTTCAGTACTCTCACATAAAACCCACAGTATCTTCAATTACTCAGTCTTACGTAGTCAGTTTTTGTTCCATGTGATTCTCGATCAGCAGCAGTCTATCAGCTTCTCCATAAGAGTTCTGGAAATCTTGATTGAGTCTAGTCACAGCCTTTTCATAAGTCCAATAAATGTTTTCAGCAAATCAATAAAGTAAAAACTTATATGTAGATGACAGAACTTAATATGGCCATGATTAATTTATAAAATAATATAGCAAAAGACCTGATAGAAGTTAATTACAAGCACAACTTAAAGGCCAAATAAAATCAGTTAAAAAAAAACTTGGATTAAAAATATTTTTAAATATAACCATTAACCATTTTTTTAAGAGCTTCAGATATAATACATAATAATCTTGAGACATAATAACCAGGATATACCAAGTCATGATATACCAAGAATATACTAAGATTATTAAATCTTTAAACACCTGAATAGTAATAAAAGAAAACTTAATAAGTAAATGATGTGAATTCCCAATCAAACCATTGGCTTTGACAAAGTTGCAACCAAGTTAGCAATAAAGAAATAATAATAAAATTATGACATAATATTATGCGTTTGTTGTCTAATATTAGGCAAAAACACAAGAGAAAATACTAACATAAATCTTAACCCAAAGAGAATCAGGTGTTTTCTTGATTTTTGACAACACCTTCCATGTAATTTATAAAATAAAATGGTTTTTTTGTGACTTTACATGAAGTTTCAGAGTTGTCAGGAGCTTATTGTAGGTCACCGTAAAACAATACTTTCTTAAGTTATTTAACCAAAGATCTTAAAGTAAAATTTTGGCTTTTTTTTTTTTTTTTTTTTTTTTTCTTCCTGAAAGCCATGTGGCTTGGTTTTCGGCTCATAAACCTTATTTTAATGAGAGGCCAAATCTCTGCCTCAGAGGCAGATTACACAAAGAATAAACCCATCAACTCAGAAATCAAAGAAAATTTTGTTATTTTAACAGTACAAAACCCAATTCTTTGTTTTATATTTTAACGTTAAAACTCATAAAAATCTCATAAATTAAACCATCAGACATTAGTCAGACAGATAAAACTTTTGACCATACTAAATTTCCTTTTAATAAACCTCTTAAACATCTTTGTTGTATACCTCTTATAGTGCATTCTTTTAAAATGGCAAAAATAAACACCCACAAGAACACACACACACACACACACACACACATATATATATATATTTTCTGCCTCTTGTGGCATAAAAACCCAAAGTATATAAGCTCAAATTATGACAAATATCTATTAATTTAATATTAATAAGTTACATAAAAGGTCTTGGGAATTATTTT